GGTTGCTTGCTGGAGCCATCATGGTCTGCCTCTTTATGTGATTTGATATTGATTGTTGTCTCTGGGCCATCAATAAATTATTACATTTATTGTATGTTTGCTTACTGTGTCCTAGCTTCTTGTTTTGTTTTGATACGCCCAAATAGGTTGGGCGTGTGAGCTACTTTGATTTTTGGTGTCTTTGAAGCTCTCACATCCTGTCATCAGGTGGTTAGATCTGTTACTAGGTATGTGAGCCCAGGAGTCCATTTACTTTTCTTGTGTGGATTCAGCTCAGGTGTCCAGGTTGTTGGTCACTTGAGTGTGTGGTGCAGGCTCTCACCTAAAGTCCTAGATGGGCATGGCTATGTAGGGATGACTGGAGCAGGCACAGGTATCTGGCTCTAGGGGGCTATGTGCCGAGCAAGGTAGGCGGCTGATGGCTGCCCTTGAGTGCCTAGGTGGAAGGTGTGTCCCTGTCCCCTAGAGTGTGTAGATGGGTGGGTTTTGCAGCCAGACTTTGGGCACCCAGTGCTGTTGGCTGTAAGGAGTGGGAGGCACCACTTGTTCTCGGACCTGTCATGGGTGGCTAGGTGGAATGCTGTGGAGCCACCAGTCCCCAGGCCCCTGATGTGGGTATTGAGGACCCTGCTTAATGTGCAGGGTGGTGTCAAATGTCACAAATCTACCACTCCCCTTAGCTGTTGCAGTTGAAAATAGGCTTCAGGTATATACCCTGTTGTACTATGCTAATGAAGGCCTATGCTGTTGAATGGGCCCACACAGGTCTAGGCAGTGATAAAAGGCATTCAAAGCCCATGGACTCCTTGCCTGTGCCTATGCAAAGAGCAGTGCCTGCGCTGAGTTCCCAGCTTAGGGGAGCTAGTGGTTTCTTTTTCCTGTTTGTTAGTTTATTTTTTCCCTCCCCAAAGCCAGGACACTGGCTCGGATGCAAAGGTTCCCACTTCGGGCCTAGGGGGCATGGCACCTGCTGAACACTGCTGGACCAAGACCGGAGCAGAGCAGGGAGTGGGTGGGTGAAGGGAAGAGAGGAACTTCCCAGAAGGGGAAGGGTTATTTTGATCCTGAGCTGTAGGTTAGATGTTTGCCCTTAACTTTCGAAGATCCAGCACTGCTTCTCCCTGGCTAGAGGCTTGTGCAGACTCTCCGCCGCTCAGTTTCTCCAGACATGGAAAATGCATCCCGAGCACTACTGCTTGCCTCAGCCCATGTGCGCCAGTCGATCCAGCCTGCAGGGTGCCAGCCAGGTCAGTTCCGGCACTTCCCTCACTGCTTCTGAACTGTCTCTCCTTCCCCCTGCCACTTAGTCCAACTCAAGTTTGTCTTTGATGTTCAGTGCTCCTAGAGTATCATATATAATCAATTCACTTGTTTTTTTCCGTCTTTGTTGTAAGAGGGACCACAGAAAGTGTCTGACTATTCTGCCATCTTGGCCCTGCCCGAATCTAATCTTTAGAGTTGCTGTTGTCATTTTGATCCCATACAGATAGCTCTTAAAAGAGCATAATGCTCAAGGTAGAGAATTTTTACTAGTTAAGCCAAACTATTGTTTGGTTTTAAGAAGACTTAAGGGGATATTTTTGGTTTAAGGTTGAAAGATTAGCTCAGGGCAATAATTTCAGGGATCATCTAGACCCCTTGGCTTCAGAAAGTCTGGATTTCATGAGAATTTGAAATTCTGTTCTGCATTTCCCCTCTTTTGATCAGGACTCTGCTATAGAATCTAATCAAAATGTTCAGTAAGGTAGCCAGGCTCCATCCAGTTCTTCTGGTCTAATGGCAAAGGAGGCAGTTTCTCATGTAGGCAGTCAGACACACATTCCATATCCTTCTCCCATTCCTGATTCTCCTTCTTCCTCTGCTGCTCCAGGCAAATAAAGATCAACTGTTGTATCTTGGATGGCTGCTTGCAAGCTTTTAAGACCCCAGGCACTATGCAACAAACTAAAACCAAAAAACCAAATCTACTGTCATTGAGTCGATTCCAACTAACAAAGTAGGAGGTCGAAAACAAGCACTAAACATCTTATTAGGCCAATTGACTTGGATGTTCCATGATTCATGACCCTAAACTTTCAAACCAAGGAACCAAATTCCATGAGGTTTTTGGTTGTACATAATAAGCAGCCTCAGCAGCTTTTTAAAAAAATCATTGTTGCAAATGTATTACACAACTTTTGCCAATTCAAATTTTTACCAGTGTACATACAACTTATTGAAAGCAATTACAATGATCGACTGTGCAATCCTACCCTTAATCAATGCGATTTTTCCATCACTGTTAAACCCCGTTTTACCCATTCTCCCACCTGTGGTAACCACTAATAAACTTTGGTCTCTATACATTTGCCTTTTCTTGCCTTTTCATCTATAGTGAGGTCATACAGTATTCGTTCTTTTGTGACTGATTATTTCACTCAGCATGTCTTCAGGCTCCACCCATATTGTAGCATGTATCAAGACTTCTTCTGCTGGCTGAGTAGTATTCCATTGTATGTGGGTACATTTTGTTTATCCATTTATCTGTTGATGGGCATTTAGGTTGTTTCCACCTTTTGGCTATTGTGAGTAGTGCTGCAGTGAACACTGGTGTACAAGTAACCGACTCTCTGCTTTCAAGTATTTTTGGTACGTACTAGCAGTGGAATTGCTGGTTCATACGGTTGGTAGTCATATTTTTAGTTTTTTGAGGAACTGCCATGCTGTTTTCCACAGTGGCTGTACCATTTTGCATTCCCACCAGTAATGGGTAAGGACTCCAATTTTCCCACATCCAGACCAACATCTGTTATTTTTATTTTTTGTTTTAGCCATCCTAGTGGGAGTGAAATGGTATCTCACTGTGGTGTTGATTTGCATCTAATGGCTAATGACGCTGAGCAACTTTCATGCGTTTGCTGGCCATTTGAATTTTCTCTTTGGTGAAATGTCTATTCAAGTACTTTGCCTATTTTATGATTGGGTTGTCTTTTTGTTCAGTTGTTGAAATTTTATATATATTTTGGTTATTAGATTATCAGATACGTTGTTTCTGAAGATAATTATCCAAGTTGGTAGCTTGTCTTTTAATTTTTTTGGTAAAGTCTTTTGATGAACAAAAGTTTTTAATTTTTATAAGGTGCCATTTATTTCGTCTTTTGCTGTTTGTGCTTTTGTTATATTAGATAATCCATTGTTAAAAGTAGGCCCGACAGCATTGACTCTATATTTTCTTCTAAGAATTTTATGGTTTCAGTTTGCACAGGTAGGTCCTTAATCTATTTCGAATTTGTTTTTGTGTATGGTGTGAGGCATGGATCCTGACAGAAAGTCTTTACTCCCCAAGAGCTTACCGTATCTTGAGTACAAAGTAATTTTTGAAATTGATTTTGTGTTTAGTTATCAACAGATATTAACGATGCTCTGTTAGTACTCAATTTTTCAGAAAGAAGATAAAACTTCTACAATGTTACCTTATCTGATTACACCTTTTATAAATCTGCATACAGGATTATTTATGTTTTTTTTTTTTTTGGCCTCCTGACTGTATCTCTAGACAGCTACAAGTGCCAGAATGGCTTTTGCTAAAAAAAAAATCTATACCTTTGCCTCCGGATGGATTTCTCTCTTTGTAGCCCAAATCATCTCTCATCAGCTCCAGGCTGGTGATCGATGCTCAAAATCCCTAGATTTATTTTCACTGTTTCCACAGTATCTGTAAGATGAATGAGAATAGGTGTTTGACATCTCAATATACATGTGAATGTTTTGGGTTGTAATTTCTTTTTGACAGTATGAGAGAATACAAAGAAGCAAAATATATCAACCTTAAATGCTCTTCTAAAGCTACTAAACCATAAATAATCTTTTATTAACCTATGGCCATGGAGTCGAATTCCGACTCATAGTGACCCTACAGGACAGAGCAGAACTGCCCCATTGGGTTTCCGAGGCTGTTAATCTTTACAGAAGTAGACTGCTATATCTTTCTTCTGTGGCGCAGCTAGTGGGTTCGAACCACCAGCCTTTCGGTTAGCTTGCTATCTTTTATTGTTGTTGTTGTTAGGTGCCGCTGAATTAGTTCCAATTCATAGCGATCCTGCAGAAAAGAGCAGAACTGCTCCATAGGGTTTCCAAGGGGCAGCTGGTGGATTCGAACTGTAGGCCTTTTGGTTAGCAGCCGTCGCTCTTACCACTGAACTACCAGGGCTCCAGACCAAACCTGTTGCTATAGAGTCAATTACAACCCATAGCAACCTATAGGACAGAGTAGAACTACCCCATCAGGTTGCCAAGGAGCAGCGGGTGGATTTGAACTGCCAATCTTTTGGTTAGCAGCCAAGGTACCCAAAAATCTTTATAAGGAAATTAGAATTTAAAAATGTAGACTTTTATGAACAATGTATTGGAATGCATTTATTCTTTAGAGTTAGTTAAAATTTAGCTACTGAATATTTTGCTAAATTTAAAGAAAATGCTCAATACATAGTTGAAAATTTCAGTTTCACAAAAAAGTTACCATAAATATTACATGTCACGGCTAAGATACTTTGGCAGCAATAGCAAAAAAAAGTTAAAATGCCATGTTTTCTAGCTTTTATGATGTTTGGCTCTATAGAACAAACACTTGAGTATTTGAATATTATTAAAATGACTAGTTAAAAAGTCTGCCAAAAATTCCAACTTGTCATTTTTGAAGAGGAGTGGGTATTTGTAATATAGGTATATAATATACTAAAATTCCAAGGGCTTGAAATTCCATGCATCATATGCTCACAAAGGACTAAATGTTAATCTAGTTCAAGTTATATAAAGAAAAAAGAACCCGCTAACCAACATCTCCCCCAAAAACAAATTATCACAAAACATAGGCCACTTCTTCCCTATATTATAAATGATTAAAAAAAACAAAGGGTAAAAAGGTAGTGTTTCCCCAATCAATTTAGAACAATATATAACAGGTAAAAGATATATAATAATCAAGCCCAGAAGAGAAATAACACAGAAATGAACCAGTCATATTTTGAGTTACATGTGACAAATATATTCTTTTTTATTGTTATTAAAATTTTCTCCAATGAATTTCAGTAACTGAAGCATTTTATTTTATTTGACTCCACTGTTGCTCATAGTTTGAGCCCTGCATACTCCCTTCCCTTTCACCTCAAAGGGGGCTCCTTTGTATGTAGCCACACACTCAGCATTAGTGTAAAGATCAGGCTGGATTTGCTCCCAAATCTTCTTCTTAGGATTCAGCTCCTTGTCAGGCTCTCCTGTTGGAGGAAAGGAAAAAAAAATTACACTGCTAATCTTCAAAAATATTTAAAAAATTCTCCACAGAGGTTTTTAATGGATTATCTTGGCAGCAATTCCCAAACATTAGACCTGATCAAAATTTGAACATTTGTTTTTATGATGTCAGCAGTTTATGTTCTTGAACAGTAAAATAAAATGAAATAGCTACTGCCATTTCCTTAAGAACGTTAAAGACATTAACTGTTTACCCTTCTAATACATATTTTTTCAGGTTACACAGCTCAAAAATTTATTCCCCAAATTATTGGGGAAAAAAAATAAGGTACTCATTTTATCACTACATTTGAAAAAATTGTCAAGTAAAAGAAAATGAGAGCATATTCTGATGTGCTATATTTTTCCACCTGGCAGAAGCAGCTTATGCTTTACTCTGTTTCACGATACAAAATGAATGACTAGATTGCTGCTCTGGTGCTTAAAGATTTCTTATTAATACTGGAAAATGGCTTAAATGCTGGTGTTACCTAGTTAAATATGATAACTACTTTGGTTTCATCCCATGGCCACTTGTTCTTAAGAAGGAAAGAGACAGCAAGGGTGACAAGGAGACAAGGATTAGCATTTGCCAAACACTAAGAATATAGGTTGTTGCATGCAATTCACACAACAATCTTGATTCTAATTTTAAATATAAAGAAGAAACTGGGGCTCAGAGAAGACAAGTAAGCTGCTTAAGGTCAAAGCTGTTCACAAATGGAGCTAGAATTTGACACCAAAGCCCATGTTCTGCTACTATAGCACCTTGCCTCCCAAGAAATTATGCTTTAGAAAAGAACCAAATAACACTCTTCCATGTGGACAATACTCCTAACCTCTCAATTTATAGTAGCATACACTGTACACTTTATAGAAGACAAATAATCAATAGAATATATCCAGTCTAGGCCTAAAGCAACTAATCATACCAAACAATCTCTCTGCTCAATAACATGGAAGTAGATAATAAAGTCAAATATAAAACACGGTTAATAGTTGGGGATGCAACATTTGGGATGAAGATTCAGTTCAAGAAACAAGGAAGAAAGATAATATATCCCTTAAGCATTAGACTTTAAATGGAAAACCATTTTCCTGGAGGTAATAAGAATATTACTGAAGTATAATTCAGCAATTATAAAGCCATAACCTACTAGGTCTTTTGTCTTTTTTTCCAGTGACTCCCAAGTTGAAATCTCTTGGAAATACTTAAACTTTTTAAACATTATCAGAGCTATTTATGTTCTACATTCTGATTGTATCTTTTTATCTAAAATGGTATTTATTCTCCTCTCATACATATACAGGACACGGTAACATTTCGTTCAGTTATACACAGGATTGCTATGAGTTGGAACCAACCTGATGGCACCTAACAACAACAACATGCACATATAGGAATAACCACACTGGGTGAAATGGTTGGCCATGGAGGTTTTGCTTCTTATTAGCTCTTCAGAGACCACGGAACTGGTAAAAACAAACAAAACTGCCCTCTAATATGCAGGTTTTCACAGATGAGAGGATAGTTAATTGAATGATATATCTATAAACAGAAAAACATGCAATGAAACTAAAACTGAAAGACTGACTAGTATAAAAGACAAGTATTAGTCTTATCCTCTTAAAAGTATTTGAGGGAACAAGAGAAAAACTCCAATAAACAAAAGAGAAAAAAATTTCTAATAAATAAAGTATAACTGTACAGTCATTTGGATCTACAACAAGATTTTTACTTTTTGTCTCTGAACATTCCCTGGGCTACAAGCATAATCTTACTTTCCATGTGCACAGATCACGCAGGCAAATGAGTTTTCCAGAATTCTGGAAAGCTAGAGTGAGAGATACTGTTCAGGAAGGCCTGATTTGTGCCCGTCCATCTTTTCCCCTCTCCACGTCTAATAAGGACCATACTGACAATGAGTTAGTTCAAGAAGCAGGGGTTCCCAGATTCCTATTTTTCTTATTAAGAGCACAGACTGTATGGATAAATACTTGCTGAGTGTTGACATAAGCAACAAGTACGAAAAGGCTTTTGTGTGTAGTACAGCACACAATTAAGCTTCTCAGATTGGGGAAAATATTGCCTAGTGTAGGAAATAATATTCATAACAATAGAACATATCGTTACTATGTGCTAGTCACTGCAATAAGTACATATATTTACTCATTTAATCACCTCATTACCCTACATAAATACTATTAATTATCCCCATTTTACAAATAAGAAAATTGAGGCAACAAAGGTTATAGCTTTAAGAACTTAAAATATCAGTTTGTTAAGTATTTCAAAGTTAAACCTCACAAAACCTATATGAGATAGGTACCATTAATAACCCCTTTTTATAGATACAAAAGCTGAGGCTCAGAAAGGTTCCCAGGTCACCCAGCACTTGTGGAACCACGATCTGAAACAATTTTAAACTTCCTCCATAAGACTGTAATAATTTTCAAAGAGCAAAGCTTTTAACTAGAAACTAATAAGCATAACCTCCAAAGCTTGACTGTTACTGTTAGCACACCAGGCTCAACAGCTGAACACTGTGAATCATTAAATGAAACAAGGATCATAAAAATCATGCTTGACACATGTCTATTATTAATACTAATGCCAGGAAGACTAGCACTTCCATTACTTTAAGTTAAACATTCCAAATTCTGTAAATTACAATGGCTATATGGAAAAAGGTTACTCTGCAAAGAATTAAAATCACCCTGAAAGTAGACGAGCTACCATTACTTTGGAAGATTTTTAGACAACCAACATTTTGAGATTAAAATCAAAGTCTGTCACATTATGAGCACTGTATGTAAATCACAGTCAAAAAAGGCTCAGATGCAGCATTAACTTTTTTGTTTACTCAAAATCTTTCTCAACAATATACTTTTTGGTATGGTGTAAAAGTTAGTTTGAAATGAGAGTTTAAATCACCTATGAAGAACACATCAATATTTTAAAGAATCTCTTTCATGAACTCTATTTTCCAGAGCAGTCATCAACATTCCTGTGTGTTGTATCCTTCTTCTTTTCCTAAATGTTTTTTTGGCATGGCTATCCAAAGAGTTAGGTGCTGATAACAATAAAAGTTTCTAAAACTAAAAACTGCAGGGCCTCTGAAATTGCTAAATATGTGCCAGTATTCACCATCTGGAAATGGTTAAACATATCGTAAGAGAACTAATCATTCAGAGATTATTTTTAGGCTAACACATTCTAAATAAAACACAAAGGGAGTATGAAATAGTTCAGAGAGAACAAAGTCCAGAAAAGATTGTAAAAAGGTGTGATCACTTTTTCAGCATTTAAAACCTACAAAAAGCAATACATACAAACTCCAGAGTTCTAGGCATTCACAAGTCTGAAGTAAGAACCAGAAACTTCATTTTGATTAGGCCTTCCTTTTGCACAAAATGCTCATCAATCACCAACTTCCCTGTAATAGCTGGCATGGCTGTAATAAGCCTAGCACTAACTCAGTTATTTTATATTTGAGTAACTGAGCCCTTGAACTATAATAGCTGTTATATTTTAGTTTTTGTGCTACAATTGACAACTTTGCAGATAAGAGGTCAATTACTTTTACAAAGCTATTCAACAGACAAAAGTGGTTTGGTGGTTTGGCACGAACAACCTTGGTAATAATGAAGGAAGATACTCAGGTCTATTCTCAAATCATAGTGACCCAATATGGCAGAGTAGATCTGCCCCATAGGTTTCCTAGGCTGAAAGCTTTATGGGAGCAGATCGTCAGGTCTCTTCTTCCATGGAGCGGCTGGTGGGTTTGAACCACTGACCTTTTGGTTAGCAGCTGAGCACTTAACCACTCAACGGCATACAACAACAACATTCTAAAATCCAATAATTTTTTTTTGCTTTTTTCCTTAGTATTTTACTAGTAAGTTTCTATTTATTCATTGACCAATTTATTGAGCCCCTACACTAATAAGCCAGGCATTAGTCTAGGAGCTAGGAATATAGCAGTGAATACAAAAAAGAAGAAAAATCTCTGGCTACATTTCAGTGTGGGAAGACAATATACAATATATATTTAATTATATGGTGATAAGTGCTTTGAAGAAAAATAAAGCAAAGAAGATGACATTTAAAAGACTTGAATAGACTTAGGGAGTAAGCCAGGTAGCTAGCTATCTGTGGGAAAAGCCAGTAACTCAATTGCAGTGGGCAAGGAAGAGTTGGAGTATATAAGGTTAGTGACGTCACGGGAGGCCAGATCCTGTAGGCTTGTATGCCACTATAAGGACTCTGGGTGAAATGCAAAGCTTTTGAATAGTTTTGAGCACAGGAATAATATAATCTGACCTACATTTTAAAAGCATCAACTCTGGCTGCTAGAGTGAAAATAGATTGAAGTGGGAAAGGGGAAAAGTAGGAAGATCAGTTAGGAAGCTTTTGCAATGACCAGTCCACAGATGTTAGTGGCAGGACCAGGGTGGTAGTGGTGCAGATGATGATGAGAATGATTTCAGATATGTTCAGAGGGCAGAGCAAACAGGACTTCCCAAAGCAGAAGATGGAGCTTTGAGAAAAATAAAAAGGAGCTAAGCAGGACTCATATGCATGTGTGGACAATGAAAAAGGTAGACAGAAGAATTGATACATTTGAAATGTGGTGTTGGCGAAGAATACTGAATATACTGTGGACTGCCAAGAGAACAAACAAATCCATTTTAGAAGAACTATAACCAGAATTTTTCTTTTAGAAGCAAGGATGGCAAGACTTCCTTCACTTACTTTGGACACGCCACCAGGAAAGAACAATCTCTAGAAAGACATGATTGGTGAAGCAGAGGTGTGAAAATGAGGAAAATCCTCAACAGGATGGACTGATACAATAACCAAAGCAATGGACTCAAACACAGCAATCATCATCAAAATGGCACAAGATCAGACAACACTTTGTTCTGTTGTACATAAGGTTGCTATAAGTCAGAGCCAACTTGCAACACCTAACAACAAGAAGCATGACTTCAAAAGCTTTGGCCTAAGCAGCTGGGAGAATGGAGTTGCCATCAATGAGATTGGAAACACTATGAAGAAAAGGAATTCTAAGAAGAAATTCAGTGGGCAGCTGAATAAATGACTAGACAAAATCACTGAAGAAATGAACATGGCAAGAAAAAGAGGAGAGGCCAAGAATCAAAGCCATAGGCACTCCAATGCTAAGATGTCATGAAAACGAAGAATCACTAAAGGAGATGAGAACGGCAGCCAGTGAAGGAGGAGGATCACGAGGAGGGTGTGGTACCAGAAGCCAAGTTACCTAAGAGGAGAACTGAGAATTAGCCATGGATTTAGCTACAGGGAGGTTACTGGTAATCCTGACCAGTTCAGGTGCAATGGTGAGGGAAACAAACCTGACTGAAATAGGTTTTAGAGAAATAAAAGGATAATCAACGGACAATTTTTTTTTTTAGGAATAAATGGACCCAAAAGTTAAACACTCTTGCATATTATATACACTTTGTGATTAACTTTTAATTTACATTGTTAAAAAATCTCAGTATCAGTAGAAATAAATATCTTGGAAAATAAAAAGTTTGAATGCAAATTCTCATTTATTATTAGACCATGAATAGCACATTCTCATAACAAAGTTGTCACTGCCTTTGTCTCCTAGCTGTAATACTGTTTTAAAGTTATTTTTGCTTGGTGCTTTAGGGACCAGTCACCATATTTAAATACTAAGATTTATAGCTTCACACATTTAAGACTTAAGTGTTGGGTGGGTGGGGAGGACTTTAGGCACTATTATAAAAATATTATTTACCATCTTCTAAACTCTATGGAAGTTTTTGGCTTTGCAGATGGAGAAAATAGCTGTTAAGTGTAAAAGTCTTCTCAAGGCCAATGGTTAAGTGCTCAGCTGCTAACTAAAAAATTGGCAGACTGCACCCAACAGCCGCTCTGACGGAGAAAAGACCTGGTGATCTGCTTCCATAAAGACTATAGCCTGGGAAACCCTAGGGGCACTTGTACTCTGTCCTATAGGGTAACTATGAGTCGGAATCAACTTGGTGGCACACAACAACAACATATGATCCTAGCACCTAAAACCATCCATCAGGTTTCTTTGAGAAATAATTCAGACTGGGATTTTCCCAAAATTCAATTTACCAAAAAAGGTTCTTAAGAGTACATACCATTATGGTTTCCAAGCTACTGAGGGCTCAAGATACATACAAGCATTCAAAGTTATAGACACTTGAAAAAAACCCAAACCCACTGCCGTCCAGTTGATTCTGACTCATAGAGACCCTAAAGGACAGAGTAGAACTGCCCCACAGGGTTTCCAAGGTGTAATCTTTACAGAAGGAGCCCTGGTAACACAGTGGTTAAGTGCTCAGCTGCTAACCAAAAGGTCAGTGGTTCGAACTCATCAACTGCTCTGTGGGAGAAAGATGTGGCAGTCTGCTTCCATAAACATTACAGCCTTGGAAACCCCATGGGGCAGTTCTACTCTGTTCTATAGTTCTATAGGGTTGCTATGAGTCAGAATAGAATTGAACAATGGGTTAATTTTTACAGATTTTTAAAAATTTGACTACATAATCTCATCTGCATTACTTTTCCATTAAAACTGTTTCTATAAATATGTCTCCAAATCAGCTGTGACTTTTGAACTTAATTCTACTTGTTGCTCTAATTTATTTCTGCCTTTCCCACTACTCTAGTCAAATAAACATCCTTTAAATAAATGCAGTCTCCTAATTTCTAACTGTTTCTCCTCTTATGAAGCCCTCCCCATTTTATGAAAGAAATATTGTACATCTGTCAAGCATCCTTTCTTTTCTTCTTCAAAGACCTATTTAAAGAAGGTTTCTCACGCATTATGAAGCTTCATCTGCCTCAGGAACATTTTTACGGAGAAAACAAGCACAAAATGACATTTCCTTTTAGATTATTATTAAAATAAATGTGAATTTCAGTTCAAAGATTTTTCCTCTATATCTTGAAATTTGAGAATTATGCATCTTTCCCCCATGTATGAACTTTTCCTCTGTCTTTCTGTGCTGCCTTCTGAGATAATCTGCAGCTTAAATGATCTTGCAGTACAATTGATTTGTTCTCTATCCATGCCACAATTTTCTGCTATGCAGGTATTAGTATTATTACCTTACTGGGAGTAGACTCTCTGAGCTATCTGTCATGTGCACATTCATGGGTAGGAGTGTGGTTTGATGCGTGTGTTCAAAATGTGCCATCTTAAGCCAATCTTACTAATCATTAATAGTGATTTAACGTAAAACCTTGTGATTGATACATAGGATACATTTTAACCTTAAATATTACAAGCAGTGCTTTGAGAACAATGATTCTCAAACTATTTTAAATAATTACCAATAACTACTCACCAGGGAAAGCATCAAAAGTAATTCTGTCTCCAGGAACAGAGCCATCAGGAGGAGCCAAGATTTCAACTTTCTCTGGTGAACTAGCACACATCACCATTGCCTGAGACAGTACTCCCCTCATCTTTGCAGGTTTCAGGTTACAAAGTAAAATCACCATCCGATTTTCCATCTGTGTGAAACATATAGTGGTGAATAAAGATTTACAGAGATTTAAAATAATCTTATATCAAATGGTCTTTTGCGGATATATTTTCTGTGCGTCCAAAATATCTTATTGTTGTTTTGAAGACTTACTTAAACTTGAAAACAAAGAAAAAAGACAAATTTCTAAACTGACAATACATTATGGTTGAAGAGCGTAGGAACACTTTACTACCAACTATGGAATGGGAAACTAATCTGCTCTGTAAACTTTCACCTAGTGTACAATAAAAAATTAAAAAAAGAAAAAAAAAGACCATAGGCCTCTGAGTTAAGCATTTATTGAAAGAATAATAATAAAAAGAAAATAACCAAGTGAAACAGACTTGGTTTTGAATTTCAGCTGCCATTTACTAGCAATGGCAATGCATAAAGTTGGTTTCCTTACAAAATGAAGGAAATAATATTGAACTTAGTGTTGTCAGAAGGATTAAATTACAAGTGTCTAAACATTTAGCCAAGTGCTAACACTAAAATAAATGCACAATCATTTGTCCCTACACATTTAGTATACAAATTCTACTCATTTACAATACTATGCAAGAGTCATTTCCTAATTAAAAAACTGTATACTGACCATTTAACAATTCAAGCATTATGCATACTGTGATTCACATTTAGGGCTAGTTCCATAATTTACTATAAAAAGTGGATAGAAACTTCTTTAATCTTCGAAAGCTGAAGTGTCCTGACTCTTTTTTCTGACTAGCAAAAGTAAGGAATATAGTTCTTTAAACTCTTTTAACAACTTTAAAATAAAATAACATAGCAGAGAACCATCACTGCTGGGGGGAGAAAAAAGACATTCTAGATAAAAGATGCTTTTATAAATAAATGTTGCATTAAAATTGACTGGGAAAAAAAGGTCTAAGACTCACATTCAAAATACCTCCTTGTAGGAGTCATCTTCAAATACAAAAACCTGAAAATACTATATATGTGAGAACTTAAAAAAAAAGAGGTTACAGCAAATATGTGAAGGAAAACAACAGGGTTAGCTAGATGTAATCCTAAAAGGATCTATTCTGTACAAAAATACACAAAGCTACAACATTTGCTATTAAATTTGGGAGCTGAGTACCCCTGCTTTATAGAATACTTTATTAATACTATCTTGATGGGTTAGATGTTTGTATTAATAGCTTTTCTCATGGCTCTGAAGGACAGTTTCTGGAACAGAAGACTCATGCAACTTCTGAGAACAGAATAGGTGTTGTTAATTATTAGGTGCCATTGAGTTGGAAGGTAAAGCCCAAATGAGGGAGTTTTTCAATTTGAGCTTTCTCAAGATCAGCTAGTTCTTTTCTCCAGGGTTCCTTTTGAACCTAACTTCAAAAGGAGTTATGAAGGAGTCCTGGTCCTATTCCAGAAGAATGTTTAAAAGAAAAAAGAAGCACACACGTATACCAAGTCTGTTTTTTCAAGGAGCCTGGGTGGCGCAACTGTCAAGCGATCAGCTGCTAACTAAAAGGTTGGCGTTCCAACACACCCAGCCGCTCCATGGGACAGAGACCTGGCAATCTGCTTCCTTAAAGATTATAGCTAAGAAAACTCTATGGGGCTGTTCTATTCTGTCCCATGGGGTTGCTAAGAGTTGTAATCAGCTCAATACCACCCAACTACATTTCCTTTTTCATAGGTAAGGAAAAGTCAGCTGATCTCCTTAATTCCATCTTTAAACAGAGGAGCCAGAGGGATCCTATTGAAATGTGAGGCCAACCATATTACTGCTTTGCAGAAAAATCCTCCAGTGGCTTTCCATTCACCCAGCATAAAAGTCAGTCTTTACAATGATCTATAAAAGGCTATATCATCTGACACCTCATCTCTGATTTTGTCTCCCATGACTGTCCTTTACTCTTCTCTAGACACACTAGCCTCCCAATGTTCCTTGAACATCCCAGGCATACACCTGCCTCAGAACCATTGAACTTGCTGTTCCTGCTGCCTGAAATGCTCTTCCCCTAGATGGACACATGACTTGCATTCTTCATTTTCTTAGATTTTCACTTACATGTCACTTTCTCTGTGAGGCCTTTCCTGGCCATTTTATGTAAAATGGCCATATCACCTTGGTTTTAACATCTTCTAGATTCTTTCCCTGCCTTACCCTTGCTTTTCTCTTGGCACTTATTACTATTTAACATACTACCTATTCACTTACGTCTCAACAATTTTCTGATGCCCTCATAGAAATGTGAGCTTCATAAAGGCAGTTTTTTCTGTCTGTTTTGTTTTAATTCACTCCTGTATCCTGTGTGTCTAAGGAGCTCTAGTGGCACTAGATAAATGCTCAGCTGCTAATGAAAGGTTGGTGGTTTGAACCCACAAGCCGCTCCCTGGCAGAAAAGACCTGGCAATCTACTTCTGTAAAGATTACAGCCTAGGAAACCCCATGGGGCAGTTAGTTATACTCTGTCCTAAAGGGTTGTTATGACTCAGAATCAACTGGATGGCACACAACAACAATATCTGTGTCTAGAACAGTGCCTGGTACACTGCAGGTATAATCTTTACAGAAGCAGGGAGGCATGATGCAATCAATCATGCTAAGATTAGCCAGTGGTTAATTTTCCACTCTATTTCTTCCTTTACTCCTTAAAACCTCATTGTAACTAGCCTATGGGGACCCTCCTGCTTTCTCTTCTGAACAGGAGAGGTGTCCCTGTATGCATACAGATTAATGGCTCAAATAAACCCTATGATATTAAAAAAAAAAATTTTTTTTCAGTAATGGTAGCTGGGCACTATCCAGTTCTTCTGGTCTCATGGCAAAGGGGGCAATTAGCCACACATTCCATATCCTCCTCCTATTCCTGACAATCCTCCTTCCTCTGCTGCTCCAGGCAAATAGAGACCGATTGTAGTGCCTTGGGTGGCTGCTTGCAAGCTATTAAGACCTCAGGTACTATGCAAGAAACTAGGAGGTTAAACAGAAGCACTAAACCAGTTATTAGGCCAATTAACTGGGATGTCCCATGAAACCCTAACCCTAAACCTCCAAACCAAGGAACCAAATCCCACGAGGTTTTTGGTTGTACAGAAGCAGCCTCAGTAGCTATTGTTTTTGTTGTTGTTGTAAATATATCTGTCACTCAACTTTTTGCCAGTTTACCTTTTTATAGGTGTACAACTTATTGACAGCAATTACAATAATCAGCTGTGCAACCCTACACTAAATCAATGCCATTTCAGGTGTACACATTTACCTGTTCTAGAGGAACATGATTCACCAGGCCACTGACAACTGTTCTGGGGGCTGTTTCTCCAACATCCACTTCTTCTACATACAAAGAATCTGCATCAGGATGTTTTTTGGCAGTGATGATACAACCAACTCGAAGATCTAGACGGGAAACATCTATTGGCTTAGAGTCAGCACTTCCTGCTACTGACTGCTGCTGTTTTTTCTCTTTCTTCTCTCCTAAAAAATAATTATGTATAGGTAAACATCAGAAATAAAGCAGCAGTATGGGCTGAGTAAATGGTTAAGTGCTAAGCTACCAACTGAAAGGTTGGCAGTTCAAACCACTCAGAGGCACCTCGAAAGACAGGCCTGGTGATCTGCTTTCAAAAGATCACTGCCTTGAAAACCCTACCAAGCAGTTCTACTCTGCACACATCGGTTCACCATGAATCGTAATCAACCTGAGGACAGCTAACAACAACCACTATATAAAAAACCCATGGTATCCGTATTTACGAGCTAAAAAAAAAGTTTACCTCCAACCTTCACTTAAACAATAGTAACAAAGGAAAGTATTACACAAGTCATAACATCCTGAACCCTAGGTTAACTATTTCTCTGTTGAATAACTGTCTATACCTCTAGCTAAAGACACAGAACACAGACTGGCAAATTATGACTCATGGGCCAAATGAAGCCTATTGCCAGTTTTTGTAAATAAAGTTTTATTCTTACACAATCATGCTCATTTGTTTACTTACTTTCTATGGCTGCTTTCACACTATGGCAGAGTTGAGTAGTTGTGACACAGACCTGATGGCCAGTAAACTCTAACATATTTAGAATACAGCCTTTTATACAAAAATTTGCCTGAAACAGCTTTAGAAAATCCTTTAAAATCTTTTACTGTGATTCTTTAGAGGGTAAAAAATCCTTTATTTAGAAAGAACACTATTATCAGTAGGCAACTGGAGGAATGAACTACACTGAAGTACGATTCCACTGATTAAATATGTTCTTCTTATCAGTTATAGATACAAATATACACATAATGAATTTATCCATTTCTTAGATTCCCCTCAAGCAATTAATTAGTAGGACTGTAGGTTTGTCCACAGCAAACTATTTGAGGGGAGGAGAATATTTTATTTTTAATAATCCTATTTTTATTTATATGTTGATAATGCAACTTTTTTCCTGTGGTGAAAATATACACATCAATACATTCACCAATACAAAAACTTCCACATTTACAACTTAACGACACTGATTATATTCTTCAAGTTGTGCAACCATTATTGCTATCTGTTACCAAATTATTCTACCACCATTAACATAAACATAATGCCCCCCAATCAAAACTTCTCCTTTTCCCCTCCGTCTCCACCCTTGGTAACCACTAATATTTTTTAGTTTCTATATATTTGCTTAATTCATATAAATGAGATCAAATAGTCCCTTTGTGACTGACTTGTTTCGCTCAGCATAATGCTTTCAGGGTTTATCTGTGTTGTGGAATCAGGGCTTCATTTTTCTTTATGGATGAGTAATATTTCATTGTATGTATACAACATTTTGTTTATCCATTTATCTGTTGATGGACATTTCAGGCGTTCCCACATTTTGGCTATTGTGCAAAGCGCTGCAGTGAACACTGGCATACAGGTTTCTGTTCGTGTTCTGCAACTCTTATTAACATATGATTACTTTAGTCAGTTAGTTAGAACGCATCCTGTCACAGAGCAGAAAGCAAAGAGGGTTCATAGTCCTAAGTTTACATTTGGTTTCTCTAGGAGAAAAGAACCTAGAATCAAAACAAAAACATTTTTTACCAATTTTTTTATTTTTTTTTTTAAGCCAATTTACCAATCTGCAGGGCAAAGATAACCTACCGTAGCTTGGAAACATTCCTTTTCAACTATACCTTTGTTTCATATTTGAACAAATATATACTGAGTGCTAACGCACTGAAGAGAACAGGATGAGTGGTCCATGCTGTCAAGGCACTCAAAATCTTTTAAGGAAGACAGACATGTATGTAATGAATATGTTGTAAACATGACATATGCAAAAAAAAAAAAAATAGAAGCACAGAGAATAACTGCATGAAGCAAGAAAGCAGGATTCTGCGTAGAGGACATTCACAACTTATAGAAATATAGTTTACAAAAGAGTAGGTATAGTTAGTTTAAAATATGGGGCAATTTTTAATCTCTGTAGTAAATAAAAAGATACAATTTTCCATCTAAGAAATTAGCAAAAAATGTGTTTAGATGTAAAAATCCAAATGATACAGAAATACATATATACACATACGTATATATATATATACATATGCACGCATATGTATTTCTTACATATAAATTACATATAAGATTACTGTAAGAAAATATGCTAAAAACTTAATAGTAATCTTTGAGTAATAAACTATACATTTACTTTAAACTATTGCAGTACAAACAGTATGTTATATCTGTATCTTAACTTTAATCTATTTTGTAGGCCTTTGAAACATCTTAAGAATCTAGAGCCCTGGTGGCGCAGTGTTTAACAGACTGGCTGCTAACCAAAAGGTCAGCAGTTCGAATCCACCAGCCACTCCCTGGAAACCCTATAAGGCAGTTCTACTGTGTCCAATAGGGTCGTTATGAGTTGGAATCAACTCGAAGGGAATGGGTTTGGTTTGTTTTTGGTAATCAAGAATCTACATTCCAGAGGTGAATGCAAATATTAAAATCTACATGAAGAGCTTTGTTAATTGTCATAAGGAATTTTAGAAATAATGCTTCATTGGCAAAATGAGCGATACTCAAAATATGTGGTGGTCTAGAAAGATTGTATGAACACCATGGTCCATGAATAAACAGAACGTTGGTATACGGCAACACTAGCAGCCAAACATCTATGAAACAGCCCTCCACACCTGAGCTGTCCAATTAGGCAGTCACTAACCACATGTGGCTATTTAATTTAAATGGCAAACAATTAAAACTAAGTTAAAATTTCATTCTGTAGTTGCACTAGCCACATTTCAAATGCTCAACAGCCACATGTGGCTATGGGCTAACAGTATTAGACAATGCAGATAGAGAACGTTTCTATCATAACAAAAAGTTCCATTTGACAGAGCTGTTCTAGTCCTAGAGATCCACTGTGGTCTTGTGCGCTGCCTACCCACTGCCCCCACACACACTTACAGGAGAATCTTGTTGCCTCATCTGACTAGAAGGCTTACTAATCCTGTGGTCTGAACAGAAAATATAAACTTCCCCAGACTTACAAGAACAGGCAGTACAACTGTTTGCGTCCACTTCTTAATATTTGTAAAGTGGGAGAATTTAGTCTGATCTGCTTTCATAACCATACCACTTAGTGTGAAGTTATGTGGGAGAGGATGTGCAGCCCCTACTTCTAACCGACAGAGGCTGCTGGTATTTACACCAAAAGGAACTGACAAATGCTAGACGCCAAATTGGCTTAGGTTAGTTCACAAATCCCTCAACCTTTTTATATTTTCCCAAAAATTTTAAATGAGTTTAAATCTTATGAGGTATGCATCAAGAATTATAAAACCACTTTTCGGGGCATATCTGGGGAAATGCAGTTAGTAAGGAGTAGGAAACGGATTGATGGTTAAGGTAAAAAGGGAGACAGATTTATGATTAGAAAAGTAGCTTTACACTTAAAGGATAAATTGGAAAGATGAGGCTGTAAGATTAACCCAGATGAAAGGTCATGAGAATGTGAACTAAGGCAGCACCTAACGAAATGGAGGAGCACAGTGGGGCTCTAGATATGTTTTGGTGATAGGAATTACAGGACATAGTGGCCAAGTAGAGACGAATATTGAGGGAGGAGAACAGGTTAAGAATGACTGCCGAGATTTCTAGTGTGGTTGCCTAAGTAGATGGTGATACTCTTCTCTAAACTTCAGTTCTTATGGGTTCCTGCAACCTTAACATCTCCATACCTTAGTTCAGACATTCTGCTTTGACTAGAATGCCCTTTTCCTGTCTTCACAATCTGGCCCTAGGTTAAGTTTCTACTCGTGACTTCTCAGACACCACCTCCCAAATACACACCAAAGTTCAGTCATCCCAAACTACATATGGCTCCTTACACCTAACCTCTATTTTCTATGTTTTACTTACATTGCATTGGTCCCTCTGCCTAGAATGCCCACACTCTTACCCTGTCTACCTGGTCAGCGTTTACCCATTTTCTAGGACCTAGCTTCTATGGTCCATTATCGCTCCTGATTTTATTCTCACCATCATATCTTTGTATTAGGGTTAGTGACATGCCTGTCTATTTCTTCTTTTCAGCCTTTCCAAGGCAAGAAGCAGTTTCATATTGTTTCTCAATGACTAACACAAGATCTGGCATAAATACAATCAAACGTTTGCTGAAAGAAGATTACATGAAAATTTCCAGCTGGAGGCCTCTAAAAATGATGTACTATTTTGTTAAAAATTAGATAATGATTTCTGAAGTTTATAACACTGGGAGATACTTGGGTCAGAGACGTTTCCTAAGTTTTAAATCTGAAGCAGATTTATGCAGGAAACATGATAAAGGTGGTTGGATTTTAAAATTGTATCTACTTCAGTGTGGACCCTCTCCAAGTTAGTGTAAGATCAGAATTCACCACATAAATGGCCACATTAAACCATAATACAAAGATATGATGACTACAATAAAATAAGAGCAATATGATATTGGAACATAGATGCTAGGTCCTAGAAAATGTGTAAATGCTGACAAAGTAGGGTAAAAAACAAAAACAAAAAAACCAAACCCACTGCCATTGAATCAATGCCGACTCATAGTGACCCTATAGGACAGAGAAGAACTGCCCATAGGGTTTCCAAGGAGTGGCTGGTGGATTCAAACTGCCAGCAATCTCTCGGTTAGCAGCTGAGATCTTATCCACTACACCACCAGGGCTCCAAAGCAGGGTGAAAGTGTGGACATTCTAGGCAGAGGGGCCAAAATAAATATAAGGTTTCCTCTATTTAAATATAAAGTATTTGCTTTAGATTTAGACATTGTGATACCTAGCTACTCTTCTAGTTAAAACATCAATTATTTAAAAAAAAAAGCAAGCATAACTTTTTCAATTAGCCCTGTAGCTCAATTCAGCACCATAATATGCCATCTAAGAACTCGTTAAATATTAAACTTTCTCCACTTAATCTTTTACTATGAAATTCTAGAACTGTCCTCCCATGAATGACTTCTCTATTGTAGTAAGGAGAATTATGCTGTTTCCTACAACATCCAAGAAAGGACTTCAACTATCTTAAGACATATACTTGGTATTCATTTCTGCCTCCAGTTCCTTCATAGTTAAATTGAAACAATTACCTACCATGTCATAAAATAAAACTCGTTTTCAATTGATTCCGATTATTACAGTTCTTAAATATTTGTGGTATTAAAGATGGTCCTCAATAGTCCTCATTTCCTAGTAGTCATAATCCTCTCTCCTCCACTGTGCGTGGGCTGTAGCTAGTAAATCTCTTCAACAGGACAAGGCCAAGTCACTTCCAAGATTAGGTTACAGAAAGATTTTGACTTCTATCTCACTTATTCTCATTTTGCTTTCTCTTTAGGAGCCCTCTTTCTGGAGGAAGCAAGCTACCATGTTATGAGTAGCTCTACGAAGAGGTCTATGTGACGAAAAACTAATGTCTCTAGACATTTGCCAGCAAGTACCTGGCCAACAGCCATGTAAGTAAGCTTGGATGAAGATTCTCCCCAGTGATGCTTTGAGATGACTGCTTCCCCAGCTGAAACTTTGACTTAAGCCTTGTGAGAGATCTTGACCCCAAGACACCTAGCTACAGCTGCACCAAATTTGACACACACAAATTGTGAGACATAGGGATATAACTAATTTACCATACTTTTATTCATCGTGATTTATGTCTTATTTAAAATTTATATATGGCAGTTGAATCCTCAGTACCCAGCACATGAAACAAACTAACAAAAAAAAACCCGTTGCCATCAAGTCGATTCCAACTCATGGCAACCCCACGTGTTTCAGAGCAGAACTGTGCTTCACTGTGTTTTTAATGGCTGTGATCTTATGGAAAGGAGTCCTGGTGATGCAGTGTTTAAGTGCTCGGCTGCTGAAAGAAAGGTTGGAGGTTCGAACCCACAAAATGGTTCCACGGGAGAAAGACCTGGAGATCTGCTTCTGTAAAGATTGCAATCTAGGAAACCCTATGGGGCAGATCTACTCTGTTACATGGGGCCACTATGCATTGAAAACAGACTCAGTGGCACTTAACAACAACAATCTTATGTAAGTAGATTGTCAGGCCTTTCTTCTACAGTGCCAGTGGGTGAAAACGAACTGCCAACTTTTTGGTTTTTAGCCGACAGCAAATTGTTTGCACCACCTAGACACCTCAATCAGCACATAGCGAACAAAAAACATTTAATGAGTGAAAGTTCAAACTCAGCATGTGTTAAGAGTTAACATTTCTTATTTACCAAGGAAATTTATTAACCAATGAAATGAAGTTTATTAACAAACCTCTATGATTCAAAAATATCTATAAGACAAAGATCATGGTCCTCAAGTGTATTCGTTAACATTTCTTTTTATCACCAGGAATGCTTTAAATATTAATGTAATATTTTATTTGGTTTGCCATGATAGAATATAAATACAGAAATTAACTAAATTGCAGATTATATGAAAATTTCCAACTAGAGGTCTCCGAGAACAATGTAGTATTTCTGTTAAAAATTGGATGTTTTCTGGAGTATAAGCACTGAGATGACCTTGGAAAGGAAGTATCTCCTAATGTATACAGTCTGTGGCAGACCTAAGCAGTACAAAGGTAGACTGCACTCCAGCTCCATATATTCAGGGAAAAGCTGTGATATATAAGTTACACTGGAGCCCTGGTGACGCAGTGGTTGCGAGCTATGGCTGCTAACCAAAAAATCGGCAGTCCGAATCCACCAGCCACTCCTTGGAAATGCTATGGGGCAGTTCTGCTCTGTCCAATATGGTCACTATGAGTCGGAATCAACTTGATGGCAACGGGTTTAGCTTTTTTTTTTTTTGGTATAATTACATTAGCAGAACTCAGCAAAGTTTGTCTAACTTGATGTTAGAATTATTAGGTATAGATCACCCATTCTACCTACAAATAGCTGAACATTTAACCATTCAGAAACTGCCCTGTCCTGGTGATATTAAAAAAAAAAAAAAAAAAAAAAAATCCCTTTTTCTCCTTCTCTTTCAGCCTCAGACTCTTGCCTCACCTTACCTCCCCAGCATGGTCAATCCCTGAGGCCAGTGGGTAAAAGATCAGATCAAAACAATCAGAATAATTCTTAGTGTCCTCACCACTGTCCTCAGTTTCTATATTCTGCTACACTTTTCAATTTTACCCTGCTGAGGACTCTCCCATAAACCACAGAAGAACATTCTGGGTCCACGATCCAGCTAGTAGGGAATTTGAAGGAGTTGTTCCTGACATCACTACTATGGAAGAGATGCTCCTACTAATCCAACTTAAAACTTTACCCATAAAAGTATAACCAACTACAGTGATTAAAAGGTCCTATGGTATTTAGTCACATGAGTTCTGGGGTAAGTCAGACCTAGATTTGAACCCTGGCTCTACTACTTACTAAGGTGCTATCTTGGACAAGTTCCTAAAACCCATTAAGACTCAGGTTTCTTACTTGTGAAACAGGGACAATCACCTACCCTCAAAGGGTTGCTGTGAAGAGTAAATACAAAAGCCTTAGTATAGTGCCTGACACTAAGTAGGTGTTCCACTGCATATAGTCTCTACGTGGGTTAAATAACCGTTAGTGGGCAAGCCGAGCCAAAAGACTCTCATTCCTAACGATGAAATGTATGCCATGAAGTTCCAAATAAAAAGCTTCAGGAATACAACTGGTTCAAAAGTTGAGGACTCTCAATACATTTTGGGGATGAAGTGCTCATAAAAGTTTGAGCTTTCTTTTTGATACCATAATTATTATCCAAAATGTTGACATTATATGACAAAACCAGACAAGAGTCAATTACACTTAAAGGTTAAAATACCTCTCTTCTCAGTTTTCTCTTTCACCTTCTTTTCTTCTCCTTCTCTGTTTATCTGTTCTTTGCCACCAGAAGATATGGTTGTTGGTGGTGCAGACTGTATTTCATTTCCAGAAAGTGTAGAATTAGCTTGCAGTTGAGTACCAGATGGGATTGGTATTTGTTTTACTGCAACAGAAAATATCATTTATATTAAATCAACAAATGACTTCAAAGGCACAGAAAAGTAAATCAGACATTACAAAAAAATAACCCACTGCTGTTGAGTCGATTCTGATTTATAGCGACCCTACAGGACAGAGCAGAACTGCCCCATACGGCTTCCAAGGAGTGCCTCGTGGATTTGAACTGCCGACCTTTTGGTTAGTAGCCGTAGCTCTTAACCACTATGCCACCAGGGTTTCCAAATCAGACATATGAACTCTTTTTAAAAGAAAAACTCACTGTATGTGACTATCAAGTCTCTATTATCTGAGACCGCAGAAAGGCTGCCAAGATATTACATGTATTGTGACCATTACTGAGGTAACGAAGAACACGATTCCCATGTAATCACTAATCCCTGTTGTTATTAGTTGCAGTCAAGTAGATTTAAACTGAGAACATTTCAGATTAACAATAATGCTTAATAATGAATTAATTCATCTAATCCTCATAATTACTCTAAGGAGTAGGGTCTATTCATGCCCCAATTTTGCAGATAAATCTGAGCCATACAGAGGTTAAGAAATTAGCCCATCAAACAGTGAATGGGGACATAAAAATTTTTTACCTGGGCAGTCCCTATCCCAGAGACTACACTCTCATGGCTTTGTAAGATGGCAACTTTTTCTATCAGGTTTTCTTTTATATTGAACAATCAACTGTGAAGGCATTTTTATATGAGGTAGCTTAGGTTGAGTCCACTCCAACTTACGGTGACCTTATATACAACAGCACAAAATGCTGCCCGGTCCTGCACCAGTGTCATGATAGCTGGCATGTCTGTGTCCACCATCGTGCCAATTCATCTTACCAAGGGTCTCCCTCGCCCTCACTGGCCATCTACCTCACCAAACATGGTGTCTTCCTACAGCAACTGATCCTCCTTCTCACTGACACGTCCAAAACGAGCTAGACAAACAACGTTCTGTTGTGATCTGTAAGGTTTTCATTGGCTAATTTTCAGAAGTAGATCACTGAAGCTCTGGTGAAAACTATCCAGCATGGGTGACCCTACTGGTATTTGAAATACTGGCGGCACAGCTGGAACTGGTGGCATAGCTTTATTCCAGCATCACAGCAACATGCAAGCCACTACAGTATAACAAGCTGAGAGACAGGTGGCAGGTTTTATATTATTATTATTAGAATTAGACCCCTGGGTGGTGCAAATGATTTGCACTTGACTATTAATCTAAAGGTTGGCAGTTCAAATCTACCCAGCCATGCCACTGAAGAAAGGCCTGGCGATCTGCTTCTGTAAAGATTACAGTCAAGAAAACCCTATGGAGCAGTTCTATTCTGTAACACATAGGGTTGCCATGAGTTGGAAGTGACTTGAAGGCAGTGGGTTTAGTTTTTTTATTTTCTGTATATTAGAATTAATGAAGAGTCAGTATTACTTGTTCACTATTCTATTTCAAAAAATAACTTTTTAAGGAAGCAAAGGACATTCTTTCAAGAATGTTTTAAGATAAGAAAAGCATTCTCATAGCCTAGTGAACACGGAAAAATATATCTCTCATGAGGGATTCTGATGCTACTTAGATTCTGGCCAATATTCAGAACATTTTTGTGATGTATTGTTTAAGTTCCCTGGAGGCCAAGCATTCTCAAAGTTCTAATTTGCTTCTTATAATAATGTGAAGTTCCATCTATCTATATCTATTTTATGTTTCACCATAAGACAGAATTGACCACTTTAATTCAAACTATTGATTTGTTTTGGCATCTCATGAATAAAATCAAGAGTTCAAAAGTTTAACATTTACAGAGACAATCTTCTAGAATTAGGAGAAATGAAAAGTTTTACACTTAGTATTTCAACTGTTTAATTCTTTATCTGTATTCCAAATCTCCTAGTCTTGGAAAGCATCAACTACTCTCCAATTTTTCCACTGACAAATAATATTCTAAATTGATATTTCTTTTATTTTTATTTGGCTAAGGATACAGCTCATACTATGACATTCAAAATAATTCAACAACAGAATGCTGGTCAAAGGAAGCAGTAAGAGAGACTTCTACTATACTTTGGCCTCCTTAACTTACCTAGGAGGGATTCTCTACACTACAATCAAATGCCTTTCCAAGTAGTACTTTGATACTGTAACAAAACTATTATCAAAAAACTAGCTGAAATGATAATTATCTGAGAACTGGTATAACATAAAACTTGTAGGATTCTGGGCAAATTATATCTTTAAGCTTCAGTTTACTCGGGTATAAAACAAAGATACTAATATACATATGCTGCTGAGGATAAAATAAATAATGCATAGAAAGCAACTGGCACAGTGCCTGGAATACAGTAAGCTTTAATAAACATTAACTAAATATTACTGTGGCTAACTTTTCAATAAGAATAGTGATGATCGAGCTCCAGTATAGCATAGATATTAAAAACACAGGTTTTTAAATCCCAGATGTCCACATTCTGTGACCTCAGACATTGCTATCGGCCTTTTCTAAGTCTCTCTTTTGTCAAGGAGGAGGAACCCACAGAAGGATTACAGTGAGGGAAAAAAAAGAAACCAGGTATAATACCTAACTTAATAAACTTTCAAGAAGTGATATAATTATTACTATAAATAATAACAATGAAATATTTAATCACCTCCATTTAGAATTTCAGCCTGGATTAGCTCTTGTTTCAGTTCTTCAATTTCTTTCTTCAGTTTAGCATTTTCAACTCTAAGTTTCTTCTCCTCTCTCAAAGTTGTCTGCAAAACTAGGGTTAACAAATCCAGTTAGATACACTTGTGTAAAAGTTTCTTATGAATACTACTTGAAAAGAGCACAGCCAGCAGGGAAACACTAGTAATCAAATGTCTGGCCCGTTCCTTTATGGCACATTTTTATTAAAACAACATAATGTTTAAAAAAGAAAGAGAAATGAGAATATCAATGAAATGATAGTAGATCAGAAGAGGTTTGGTTTTATGAATCATTTTCCTAACTTTAATAAAACCAAAAAACTCCACTGCCATCAAGTTGATTCTGACTCACAGCAACCCTACAGGACAGAGTAGAACTGTCCCATAGGGTTTCCAAGGAGTGGCTAATGTATTCAAACTACTGATCTTTTGGTTAGCAGCTGAGCTCTTAACCACTGCACCACCAGGGCTCTGAACCTCTCAGAACAAAGATGCTTACTAAAATCAAACTGGCACCTTTTCATCATTGTAGCTAAAATAAAGGACAATGGTAAATACCTTAAGAACCTGGCACAAAAGTGAAATAAACTATAAAAAAGAGAATTATAAATTACCAAAAAAAAAAAAAAAGATTGAGACCTAATAATGACATCAGATAATGAAGAAGTATTCTCATTTTTATCTTCAGTAATTTCCTTTTAAAAGAAGTAGGCTAATCTCTTATTATTAATGTCTCAGATGTTGAGGTAGTAACAGATTTAATGAGTGAAATAACTTCAAATATTCGCTCAAGATGTAATGTGTGCTAAAGGTGAACAACAGGATTTACAAAAATAGAATAACAATGATTCAAAATGAGGTTGGTACTACTCCCTAGGTGGGATTTTGAAAATCTGTGGAAGTGTTTTCCTTTTTAATTGTGGTAGAATATGTGTAATAAAACATTTTCTTTTTGACCATTTTTACAATTCAGAGACATTAGTTACATTCACTATGTTGTGCAACGATCGCTATTCATCCCAAAACCTTTTACATCCCCCTTAACAGACATTCAGAGCCCTAGTGGCACAGTGGCTAAGAGCTCGGCTGCTAAACTAAAGGCTGGCAGTTTAAATCCACCAGCTGCTCCTTAGAAACCCCATGGGGCAGTTCTACTTTGTCCTATAGGGTCGCTATGAACCGGAACTGACTAGATAGCAATGGGTTTTTTTGGTTTTAATGAATAATGACGTTCAGCATCTTTTCATATGCTTATTGGTCACTTGTGCATCTTTTTTGGTGAAATATCCAAATCCTTTGCTTAGTTTTTAATTCTTTATCTTTTTGTTGTTGAGTTGTAAGAGTTCTTTATATATTCCGGATATTAAACGCTTGTCAGAAATACGGTTCCAAAATATTTTCTCCCATTCTACAGGTTATCTCTCCACTTAAAGTTGGTAAAGTCCTTTGGTGCATAAGAGTTTTAAATTTTGATGATGTCCAATTTATCTACTTGGTCCTTTGTTGCATGTGTTTTTGGTGTCATTTCTAATGGGTTGTCCCAAAGCATTACTCCTATGGTTTGTACTAAGATTTCATAGCTTTAGTTCTCACATTTAGGTCAATGATCCATTTTGAGTTAATTTTCACATATGGTATGAGATAGGAATCAACTTCATTTTTTTTACATGTGGAGATTCAGCACCATTACTGAAGAGAGTACCCACTGGATGGGCTTAGCAGCCTTGTCGAGATCAACTGACTATAGATGTATGGGTTTATTTCTGGATTCTCAATTCTATTTTATTGGTTTCTTATCTCTATTCTTATACATGGATAACACTGATTTTATTACCGTAGCTTTACAGTATGCTTTGAAATTATGAAATGTGAGTTCCTACTTTGTTGTTCTTTTTCAAGATTGCTTTGGCTATCATGGGTCCCTTGCAATTTCCTATAAAATTTGGTGATTGGCTTTTCCATTGCTGTGAAGAAGGCTGTTGGAATTTTGATGGGGAATGAGTTGAATCCATAGAAAACTTTGTGTAGGGTAGCACTGACATCTTAATATTAAGTCTTCCAATTCATGAACACAAGATGTCCTTATATTTATTTAGGCCTTATTTAGTTTCTTTCAGTAATGTTTTACAATTTTCGGTGTATATGTCTTTTACCTCCCTGGTTAAATTTATTCCTAAATATTTTATTCTTTTAGATGCTAGTGTAAATGGAACTATTTTCTTCATCTCCTTTTCAGACTGCTTATTGCTGGTATATGGAAACCCAACTAATTTTCACATGTTGACCTTGTACCCTACTACTTAGCTGAATTAATTCATTAGCTCTAGTGGCTTTCTAGTGGAATCTTTGGGATTTTCTACATATATAATCATACCATCTGCAAATATATTTTTAATTCTTCCTTTCTGACTTGGATACATTTTCTTTTTCTTGGCTAATTATTCTGGCTAGAACTTCTAGTACAATATTGAACAGTAGTGGTGAAAATGGGCATCCTTGCTGTTTCTGATCTTAAAGGGAAAGCTCTCAGTTTTTCTCCATTGAGTACAATGTTAGTGATGGATTTTTCATATCTTTTATCATGTTGAGGAATTCACTTTCCAGTCCTTGTTTGCTATTTTTTTTTTTTTTTTAACACAAAAGAATGTTGGATCTTGTTAAACGTCTTTTATGCATTTATGGAGATGATCACATAGCTCTTATCCTTTGTTCTATTAATGTAGCATATTACATTAACTGATTTTCTGATGCTGAACTACCCTTGCACTCCTGGAATAAATCTCACTTGGTCATGGTGTATAATACTATTAATACATCGTTGGATTCAGTCTGTTAGCATTTTGCTGAGGATTTCTGTATCTATATTCATAAGAGATACTAGTCTGTAGCTTTCTTTTCTTGTGGTGTCCTTGTCTGACTTTGTGATCAGGGTAATGCTGGCCTCACTGAATGAGTTAGGTAGTGTTCCCTCCTCTTGTATTTTCTTAGAAAAGTTTAAGAAGGATTGGCGCAGTGATTAAGCATTTGGCTGCTAACCAAAAGGACAGCAGCTCAGACCCACCAGCTGCTCCTTGGAATTCCTATTGGGCAGTTCTATTCTGTCCTATAGAGTCGCTATGAGTCAGAATTGACTTGACGGCAACAGGTTTGTGGTTTGGTGTCAATTATTCTTTAAATGATTGATAGAATTCCCTAGTGCAGCCATCTGATCCAGGACTTTATTTGTAGTGAGGTTTTTGATTATTGATTCAACCTCTTCACTTGTTATGGGTCTATCGGCATTTTTTATTTCTTCTTGAGTCAACTTAGGTGTTTCTAAGAATTTGTCTGTTTAATCAACAACATCTAATTTGTTGGCGTACAATTATATCCATTGTATTCTCTATGATCCTTTTCATTTCTGTAGTTATCAACTGTAATATTCCCACTTTCATTTCTGATCTTAGATATTTACATCTTCTCTTTTTGTCCGTCCAGCTACAGGTCTGTTGATGTTATTGATCTCTTTGAGAACAAATCTCTGGTTTCCTTGATTCTACTGTTTTTCTATTCTCTATTTCATTTATTCCTGCTCTGATTTTTGTTTTTCCTTCCTTCTAGTTTTGGATTTCATTTGCTGTTCTTTTTCTAGGTTCTCAAGTTGTAAAGTTAAGTTACCGATTTGATATCCTCCTTCTTTTTTAATGTAGGAGTCTACACCCATTGCTGTCAAGTCAATTCTGACTCAGAGCAACCCCAAAGAACAGAGTAGAACAGCCTCAGAGAGTTTTCAAGGCTGTAAATCTTCACAGAAGCAGACTGCCACATCTTTCTCCTGCAGAGTGACTGGTGGGTTTGAAGTACAAACCTTTTGGTTAGCAGCTGAGTGCTTAGTGTCTGTGCCACCAGGGCTCCCTGTATGTAGGTGTCTACAGCTAAACATTTCTGAGTCCTACTCTCATTGCATCCCTTAGATTTTGGTATTTTGTGCTTTCACTTTCATTTGCCTTTAAATATTTTGATTTCTCTCTTGATTTCTTCCTGGACTCATTGGTTGTTTACTAGTATATTCCTTAACTACACATATTTGTATAATTTCCTTCTGTTGTTAATTTTGGTTTCATTCCATTGTGGTGGGAGAATATATTTTGTATGACTTGAGTCTTTTTAAATTTACTGAGACTTGTTTTGTGACCTAAAATACGGTCTATCCTGGAGAACGATCCATTTGCACTGCAGAATGTATATTGTGCTATTGTTGGTGGAGTGTTCATTCTGTACACGTGAGACCTGATTAAGAGTTGTTCAAATTCTCCTTATTGATCTTCTTTCTAGGTATCTGTCCATTATTGAAAGTGGTGTATTGATGTTCCAACTACTATTTTAGAATGGTCTATCTCTCCATTCTGTCAGTTTTCTTAATATGTTTTAGGGCTCTGATGATAGATGCATATATAATTGCTATATCTTCTTGATGAATTGACACTTTTATCATTATATAATCTCCTTCTTTGTCTCAGGACAGATTCTGACTTGAAGTCTATTCTGTCTGACATCAATATAGTCTCTCTCTGGTTACTATTTCTATGGAATGCTTTCTTCCAACCTTTTTTCTATCTATATGTTTTTGGGTCTAAGATATGTCTTTTATAGACAGTATATACATGGATCATATGTCTTATGCCTTCTTTGTCCCTTATTTCCTCCAATGCTGCCATCATTTGTGTTTAGTTGCTTTTTGTAGTAAATCATTTTGGTTCCCTTCCCATTTGTTTTTGCGTATAGTTTTGAATATATTCTTTGTAGTTACCGTGGGGATTACTTTTAACATCCTAACATTCTAACAACCTATTTAAATTCATACCGATTTAAGTTTAATAACATACAAAAAATCTATTTCTATACTGCTTCTTCCCCCTTTATGTTATCACAGATTATAACTTTATACATTATTAGCCCAATAAGATACATTTATGATTTTTTATGCATTTGTCATTTTAAGTCATGTAGCACACAACAACTAGAGTTACAAATCCAAAGTAACTGTAAAACTGGCCTGTATACTAGCCCATGAAATTACCTGTACCAGAGAATTTTTTCCCTCCTTGTATGACTCCAAGCTGCTGTTTAGTGTCCTTTCCTTTTTATCTGAAGGACTACAATATTTCTTGTAGGTTATATCTGGTCATAAAAAAAAAACCCTTAACTTTTTTTAGCTGGGAATATCTTAATTTTGTCATTTTTGATGGACAGTTTTGTTACAGATAGAATTCCTGATTGACCTTTCTTGTCTTTCCGCACTTTAAACATGTCATTCCTTTTCCTTCTGGCGTTCAAGGTTCAAGGGTTAATATTACATATTAACTGTTTTGAAATTTTGTGCGTAAGTAGGTTAATTTATTTAAAAAATATTTTCTTTACAGGATACTAAAAGGAACTTTACAAAATATTTATTATAAAATAGGGACAATGAGAATGAAAACCACTAAGAATAGAATGCCAAGGAATAATGATAAAGGTGAAGATAAACATGTAGCAGCACAAGAAAGTTCTTTTTAATTAGCAAAATTGAAATGTTAGTAAAGATAGTAGACAATGGCCACCCCTACGAGAAAGAATGTACTTTATACCATGCATTGTATCACACAGAAGCACCGATCATCTCAAATCTCTTCATCTTACTAACATACATAAAAAAAATTAAATGCCTTGCTCAAAATCACAAAGGTCTTTAGTGAAAGACCCAGACCTAAATATGTTGAATGTTAATTAGGTCACCTTAGTAGGCCCAGAGTCTTCAAAAATTGTTTACCAAATGCTGCTTTTAATTGAATTATAAATATCTTTCTCTAAAATTAGTTTTCACTACGGTTAATGGTAATTTATTTGAGCTAGAGTTTTCACAAAATGAAGATATTTGAGGTGGATTCTTACGAGTCTCTAATGTTACTAATATCAAGAAAGATAAAGAGAGAAATATTAAGAATTTTAATAAAATAAGAATAAAAACCCTTGGAAACAATATAAAACCTAAATAATTAAAATGGTATTTTAAACTTTAAAAAATTTATAAAGGTAAAAGTATTTGGAAAGTAAATGTAGAATTTTTCCAAGCCACTTGCAGTCTTAAGTGTGAGACAAAAGCATTTATTTTTATTAGTGATGACAACAGACTCTGGAATATTTATTCCAGCATTAACACTGGGAATTGAGAAAATTGAGTATTAAAAAATAAAATAAACATAAATCTAAACCAGCCTAAGTCTCAACAGTAGAAATTCAGGCTTGGTACTTCTGTATATAAAAGAGCAATTTCTAAGTAAAACTTAAAGAAATATTTCCCTGTAAAAATCATCTCAGAAAAAGCCTTAGTAGAGAATAATATGAAAGTATGTACATTCTCCTCTACACAAATTTAGAGGAGATATTCAACTTCATAGTTTATTTTGTCTAATTTTCTTCATTTCTGAAGTCTAATTCTATACCAATTTATTTTAAACTTTATACTACTCTTCCTTTAGAAGTCTTAAAATAATACAGTTTAGTAGTAACTTACGTGGTAAACAGATCTGTTTTTGCTCTTTCAATATACAGGTTCAATTTAAGTATCTCCTTAGAAAGTTAAATTTTCTTACTTGCTTTCTCCTTTAGAAGAGCAACTTGCTGCTTCAGATACTCAATAATTTGATCTGCCTCTGCCCCCTTCTGTTCCAGTCTCTTCAGAACAGCATCACTGGTTGCCATTTTTGCAAAGAAACGGCAGAAAATCCTAAATTAAAAATAAAAGTGATAAACTACACTGTGGAAGGAATAAATTTATCAAATAATACACTGTGAAAAAGCAGTCTATAAGGAAAAATATTTTCTATCTCAACGGATCAATATGTCAGAAAAACACTTTTCCTATGAAAAGCAGCAAACCAAACAAAAGGCAGAAATGTTAAGTAGACTAATTCCTTCATGTATTTGAGAGGGGAAAACTACGTTCTTGCTAAATGCAGAAGTGATGCTATTAACCACAGCTTAGGTTGGAAACTTTCAAAGAAAACTTTAAAATACTGCAAAATACTAAGACACAGGACAGGAGCACTAAGGGAAAATAATAATAATAATCTGAATTAAGCTATAATTTGAGTATTACACCTGTGTTCCAAAGAAAAGAGTCATAGAACTGCTTCTTTATATGGTATTTTTTATACTGCATAATTCTGTTTTCTCAGTTACGTACAATTTTCAGGAGGAACTTGAGAATTAGGAAAGGTAAATAATAAAAGAAAAAAAAAGATTAACAATTAGGAAAACATCCACATTAATCATATGCCCAATCAGAAATAACATTGGTATACACTCTATATTTATAAAAGAAAATTCTACTAGAATCTTAATATTACAATAAATTCATAGAAATTTTAAAAATCCTGCAGAAAAATACATATCAGCAAATATTCTGAGATTAATTCATCATGTTAAAGTTTGAAGTGTCAAATATTAAAACAAATAATCACAATGACAAAAGAGAGGGTTAATCACTAATAACAGTAAAAATTACTCTTTTGACATGGTTTAATATTACTTTATAATTTACAATTCAAAGTATAACATCATACACATTGCTGGAATAATTCTGATTTTATAGAAATGAAACAGCACATAGTAAGTCGTGAAATTTTTTGAATAGAGAGAAAAATTGGCTCATGGACAAATAATACAAAAGATTTTTTTAAAATTTCTAATTATTACACAATATTCAGCCCATATAAAAGTTTACTTTTTTAAATAAAAAGAAAGTCAATTCTCAAAACATTTCTGCTAAAATTGAAAATATATATGATATAGAAACCGCCAAATTTAAAAACAAAACTACAAAGTTGTTAGTAATGAAGAAAATCTAACTAGGAGTTATCCTAAAACGTCGTAGTGAACTACTCATTTTTCACATGCACATGGACTATTACTTTACTAAGTTAGAACAATGAAGACATAAAAAAAGGACAGAAATTCAAAATGAAGAGATCATCTTTACAGTTCTGCCACTCTTACCAAGTAAGCCCACAGAATACTCTGTTGTGTTTCTCAAATGTCTACAAAATTAGAATTTTATAGAAAAAAAATAAGTGGATGGATCAAGCAAGTTAAAGTAAAAAAACTTTTGTTTTCTGAACTTTTACTATCCTGAGTTACAGCATTCTTTTTAGTTCATCTATTTTGGGCTAACATAATAATGAAATATATTCAATAGGTGAAATACAGCTATCACCAACAATAATACAACCAGTATTTAATCTGGCATAATCTTTAACTTTTACTTCCCTGGCAAAGAAAAAAGTAGATGAATAAGATGAGCACCAAACTGGTAATACACTTCAGAAAAATACGGTTTGAAACTGTCTTATGCAAACTTCAAAGTTTGCCAAAAAAGTTACAAACAGTAGACTAGTATCTTAGTTACGAAATAACAGATTTAAATGTAAAATAGTTCCCATAAATTTTAGTTCCCATAAATTAGCCAACAGGCCCACAAAGTCACCTCACCAACAACAACCAAGTTGCTGAAGAAGCAAAACATGAAACTCAAGCCCGTCCTCACACACAAGAGTTTGAAATCTTCTGAGATTAACAGTAATCTGCAAAAGATATAAATTCTAGCCTACAAGAAAAAATGACATAAAGTATAATTTCACTGAGTTGATAAATAGATTAACCACCTGTTATATACAGTTACAAAACTGAGTGAAATAAGACTTTTGCAAAACATACTGAAAACAGGCATAAGCTTATGAAGAAAGAATACCATGTTTTAAAACACAGAAGCACAAATGAGCGGAACACTTGAAGATACAGACATAACTATTAAGAGGAAACAACGTAATAAACGGAAGTGAAAAAAGGGAATGAAAGTGATAGAAAATATAAATGAGAAAACATAATCCTCAAAATCATTGTATCAAAAGGTGTTAAAAGATTAAGGTTTATAACATGAAAAGACCTGCCATTTAACAGTTTACTTCTGACACCAAAATGCAACATCTAGTCAAGCTATGTAATAATTTCAGTTTGGCAAGAGATGATTTAATAGTCACCTACTAAATTTAGTTTGAACAAGTTTAAGAAGTGAACTGTATAAAAAACCTTTTTTTTTTTTTTTTTAATATGTTCAGTAAAAAACATCTCCCCCATAGACAAAAGGAGGTAATGGGTTATCAGACTAATCAAATGTACGTATCTGCCTATCACTCAAATACAAAAATGTATATAACACAGTCCATCTTTTAGATAATTGTTATGCTTTAATTTAAAATACTGCACGATGTTACATACATATCTATATGTTTAACTATAATATGTAAATACAGTATAAAACAAGTATAAATTTCTATTTTTGTTTATAAATTTACAAAAACTGCTGAGATTAAGGTCTAATTTTTTTTCTTTTTTTTTAATATTTTATTGTACTTCAGGTGAAGGCTTACAGAACAAATAGTTTCTCATGAAACAGTAGTACACATGTTGT